GCTGGGCTATCAAAGCAGAGGCTCTCTAGCTGGATCGTGGACACGATTACGACAGCATACCGCTTGGCTGGCAGGCCAGTGCTGGGATCTGTGGTGGCACATTTAGGTGTGGCTGCGTCCTGGGTTCTACTGAGAGGAGTGCCCCTCGCTGATATCTGTGCTGCAGCCAGGTGGGCTTCCTCTTGCACCTTTGCTAGGTACCACGGGTAAATGTGGCACCTCCCTCTGCAGTTGGTTCAGCGGTCCTGGGCGTCGCCTCCCCTTCCGGGGACTGTGCCGGGACCCCCCTTCCACATTGACGGCCCCTGCGTCTCGATTCCGCGCTGGGACTTCGCCGCTGGCTGGCCGGGTCCCTCTAGCACCGACTAAATCTGGTACGGCTATACCAATATATTGGAGTGATCCAATATAGTGAAACATAACGAAGGTTACGTATGTAACCACGGGTATGTGAGCTATATGGATCACTCCAATCCTCTACGGTGCTAGAGGAGCCTCAAAAATGGTGTAGAGAACGTGTGTCGCGGCCATGGGGTCTATATACAGTGGGGGAAAAAAGTATTTAGTCAGCCACCAATTGTGCAAGTTCTCCCACTTAAAAAGATGAGAGAGGCCTGTAATTTTCATCATAGGTACACGTCAACTATGACAGACAAAATGAGAAAAATAAATCCAGAAAATCACATTGTAGGATTTTTAATGAATTTATTTGCAAATTATGGTGGAAAATAAGTATTTGGTCAATAACAAAAGTTTCTCAATACTTTGTTATATACCCTTTGTTGGCAATGACACAGGTCAAACGTCTTCTGTAAGTCTTCACAAGGTTTTCACACACTGTTGCTGGTATTTTGCCCCATTCCTCCATGCAGATCTCCTCTAGAGCAGTGATGTTTTGGGGCTGTCGCTGGGCAACACGGACTTTCAACTCCCTCCAAAGATTTTCTATGCGGTTGAGATCTGGAGACTGGCTAGGCCACTCCAGGACCTTGAAATGCTTCTTACGAAGCCACTCCTTCGTTGCCCGGGCGGTGTGTTTGGGATCATTGTCATGCTGAAAGACCCAGCCACGTTTCATCTTCAATGTCCTTGCTGATGAAAGGAGGTTTTCACTCAAAATCTCACGATACATGGCCCCATTCATTCTTTCCTTTACACGGATCAGTCGTCCTGGTCCCTTTGCAGAAAAACAGACCCAAAGCATGATGTTTCCACCCCCATGCTTCACAGTAGGTATGGTGTTCATTGGATGCAACTCAGCATTCTTTGTCCTCCAAACACGATAGTCTCGCGACCACCCCATGAGAACCCTCTGTGGTAATGAAAAGATGGGGTTGTGTAGTACTAACCAGGGAAGACCCAACACAACAGAGAAATCTGGAGACTCAATAATAAAAAGATGACTTGCTCTCTATGGGTCTTGTGCGTAACATTGTGACTGGTGCTGTAACTTTCCTAACGAACCCGGACCCTAATGGTCGACTGTCAAGTGCTTTGATGGGTAGTGGAATGGATAGGGGAACCAAAGTAATACCTAGACTATGAGCTAACGACCTGTCCATAAAGTTCCCAGCTGCTCCTGAATCGACCAGCGCCTTAACACTGGGAAACTACTGTGTCATCAGGGGAGGAGACGTGAATGGTGCAGTGCGCAGCAGAGGTCTCTGAACGAGTGTGGGTTTGTGATACCTGGGGTGACGCGAGAGTGCCCTGCCTGCCGCCTCCAGACCCAAAAGAACCCTGACGACAGCGTGCAGCAGAATGTCCTCTCCTGCCACAAGAGTGACACTGGAGCTGTCGTCCTCCATTTTCCCGGATCTCTGCACCACCCAGCTCCATCGGAACTGAATCCGGGTTGAGGGGGGGTAAAACAGGCAGGCCCCTTCCAGGACGTCCTCTTGCAGCTAGCAGGTTGTCCAACCGGATGGCCATGTCCACCAGCTGGTCGAAAGTCAACATTGTATCCCAGCAGGCTAGCTCCCGTCGGACGTCCTCTCGCAGGCTGTACTGGAAGCTGTCGATGAGGGCCCGCTCGTTCCACCCGAACCCAGCCGCTAGATTATGAAACTCCAGGGCAAAGTCCTGTGCGGTCCTCGTCCTCATCCTCTGCCTCAGGTGGACCAGCCCTGAAAGAGGCGAGCGAACTTCCCGTAGTTGTCCAACGTGTCTCCTCCTTCACTCCAGACCGCGTTGGCCCGCTGCGGGGTTTTCCAATAGAGGCAGGAGACGAGGGCGGACACCTTCTCCCGCTCTGATAGAGCCAGGTTGATGGTCAAGAAGTATAGGTCCAGTTGCAGGAGGAATCCCTGGCAGCGGGCCGCTGTCCCGTCATAATCCCTATGTCGGGATAGATTCCTCTGGGTGCTGGGGTGTGGGTGGCTGTGTCCGGTCGCTCAGCTGGTCCTTGAGGGTCAGGTCCTTTCCTCTCCAGGCGTTGGACAACCTGGAGAACCCGAACCATCATTTCTCCCAAGCTGGCTAGCATCGTAGAATGCTCCCGGACCCGCGCTATGACTCCAGGCATGTGCTCTTCTCCTGCTGACTCCATGTTCAGGTGTTTGATTCTGTGGTGAGTGATTTTGAAAGGAGTCAGGCGCAGGAGGGTAAATCACAGAATAAAAGGGTTTATTCCGAAAAGCACAGTGGTACGCAGCAATGCGTCAATCACTCCAGTGCGTAAATCAGGCGCACTGGGAAACAACAAGGGAAACGGGTGAAATATCCCGGCGATACAAAATACAAGGAGCTCCACCAAGCTAAACTAACCTCCACAATAAACAATCACACACAAAGACAAGGGGGCAGAGGGAACACTTATACAGGTACTGATGAGGGGATATGAACCAGGTGTGTGTAGTAAACAAGACAAACCAAATGGAATGATGAGATGAGGAGTGGCAGGGAATAGAAGACCGGTGATGACGAACGCCAAAGCTTGCCTGAACAAGGAGAGGAGGCAGCTTCAGAGGATGTCGTGACAGCTGTGGAGCTTTGCAGCTCCTTCAGGGTTATCTTTGGTCTCTTTGTTACCTCTCTGATTAATGCCTTCCTTGCCTGGTCCGTGAGTTTTGGTGGGCGGCCCTCTCTTGGCAGGTTTGTTGTGGTGCCATATTCTTTCAATTTTTTTATAATGGATTTAATGGTGCTCCGTGGGATGTTAAAAATGTTGGATATTTTTTTATAACCCAACCCTGATCTGTACTTCTCCACAACTTTGTCCCTGACCTGTTTGGAGAGCTCCTTGGTCTCCATGGTGACACTTAGATTGCAAACAGGTGGACTTTATTTAACTGATTATGTGAATTCTGAAGGTAATTGGTTGCACCAGATCTTATTTAGGGGCTTCATAGCAAAGGGGGAGAATACATATTCACACACCACTTTCCGTTATTTCTGTTTTATAATTTTTTGAAACAAGTTTTTTTTTTCATTTCACTTCACGAATTTGGACTATTTTGTGTATGTCCAATCCATTTAAATTACAGGTTGTGATGCAACAAAATAGGAAAAACGCCAAGGGGGATGAATACTTTTGCAAGGCACTGTAGATATCCAACTCATTACTGAGCAGATTGTTGAGAAAACAACTAATCTATATCCTATTATTGTTTGTTTTATTTGAAAAAATTAAATACATGACAATAAATACATTACAGACATGTTTTATATCAACAATTCTATTATATTATTCCTTAATGTCTATACTATATATATACAAATATATAAATACATATAATAAACATATTAAAAGGACAGCACCCTTTGTAGGGCAGTGTCCCCATCACTGTCCTGACTCATTGATTTAAGTCTCTTTGGACCAGAGGGAACATTACCCCTTACTGGCCCTCCAACATCACTTGCTCTGGTTATGGTCTACCATCCAAGGCTCGACCGGGCCAACCCCGCTTCAGAGGCAAGCCAGCAGAGGGGTTGCAGGGTGGCACAGCTTCCAGTGCCAGACAAAGAGTGATCAAGTGCTAGTGGTGGCATGTGGGGAGAGAGTCTCAATGGAACGTTGATTTTGACGCTGTTGATTTCTGCTGGAGAGAAGAAGGTGTGCTGATTAACCCTCTGAGTTACGTGGAAGAATACATAAGCTTTATGGCAGACTATACTGTATTTAAAGCAGAATAGATCATCTATTCTGTTAAGCTTTATGGAAGAATATATTTATGGCAGAATAGATAGTGTACTCTGTTAAGCTTTATGGAAGAATATATTTATGGCAGAATAGATACTGTACTCTGTTAAGCTTCAAACCATATTTAATTCAGGGAAAATACAGGTAACTGACAAAATAAAGGAAACAACAACATTATTTTCTCTTAATAGGGCGTTGGGCCACCACGAGCCAGAACAGCTTCAATGCGCCTTGGCATAGACTCTGGAACTCTATTGGAGGGACGCGACATCATTCTTCCACGAGAAATTCCATAATTTGGTGTTTTGTTGACGGTGGTGGAAAACACTGTCTCAAGTGCCGCTCCAGAATCTCCCATAAGTGGTCAATTGTGTTGAGATCTGGTGACTGAGACGGCCATGGCATATGGTTTACATCGTTTTCATTCTCATCAAACCATTCAGTGACCACTCGTGCCCTGTGGATGGGGGCATTGTCATCCTACGGGGGCATAGCCATGGTAGCCAAAATAATGGGCACCTGGGCCTGCCCAGGATTTTTTATAAATGACCCTAAGAATGATGGAATGTTAATTGCTTAATTAACTCAGGAACCACACCTGTTTGGAAGCACCTTCTTTCAATATACTTTGTATCCCTTATTTACTCAAGTGGCCCCTGTAAATGTCCCATGATCTATATGGCACACGTAGATGCAGTATTTTTTGTGTGTTTTTTAATCAAATTAAATAAAAATTATATATGTATATATATTTAAACATTAATAGTTCATTCAAACAACTAAATATACTAACATAACATAACAAGAACATAATTCTGACTTCATAAAATAGCCTGTGCAATACAATACATCCATAAACTCACGCTTTGGTTTGTCTTTCAATCAGTGTTTTGGCAAAGTTCCCATTTGGGTCGAGACAGAGCAAACCTCCGGTTTTCAGTGTGACACTGATTGATAGAGAGAGAGACAAAGAGAGAGAAAGAGAGAGAGAGAGAGGGAGATGAGAAAGAAAAATGGTGGGGGGGAGAGAGAGATGTTTAATAAAATGAAATTGATCATTGGAATATATATTTTGGAGAGTGTGTGCATCTAATTTTCTTCAAGTACAGTATAGTACATTACAGTACAGTACAGCACAGTATAGTATAGTAACTCACATGACTTCTTCCTTAGAGCAGTGTGAGCGAGGAGGGTAATGGGTCAGTTTCATGATTAAACTGGTAGTCACCCCACCTGCATGTACTTTAGGGCAGCGACATCGAGGATCTGCTATAACTCTCCCTGTAGAGAAAATAGCGAAAGTCAAACAAAACACTTTAGTCTCCCTATACATTCATCAACAATTTCCTAATCTAGTTTTAGACAGGGATTCAATCTGAAACCGTGTTACAGCGCGCTTGACATTTAAAGATAATATCCAATTGAGTTGACATCTGCAGCGTTTACTGTACCTTAAATATGATCTCAACCAACGAGGTAACATTGCCTTTAAAAGGTGCATTATCGACAACGTTATAAGGAGTGAATCCCGGCCTTAGTGTTTTAGTGTAAATTGTAAGACATGAATAACGTAGTTCACACAGTCCATAATTGTATAGTTAGATATACACGGAGCATACAAAACAAGGACACCTTCCTAATAGTGAGTTGCATCCCCCCTTTTTGCACTCAGAACAGCCTCAATACGTCAGGGAATGGTGTCAAAAGCGTTCCACAGGGATGCTGGCCCATGTTGACTCCAATGTTTCCCACATGTGTCCTTAATGTTTTGTACACTCAGTATAAGTTCAAAGTTCTACTAAATACTCAAACATAATACTCATTGTCATCAAAAGTTCTACAGTTACCTTGTATCATGTAGATGACGTCTGAGCAGACCAGAAGAACGATAACAGTCATTGCAGTATTCATGATGATCTTGACTCTGTAGACTGTAGTTGCAGTGTGGCTGTTGTATCAGAGGGAATACTAGTAAGCCAGCTGCAGTCTTCTTCTTCTTCTTCTTCTTCTTCTTCTTCTTCTTCTTCTTCTTCTTTTTCTTTTTCTCCTTCTTCTTCTTTGGTTGCAGTGAATTTCTGAGTTAAACAGTTTGTTTTTGGTGAGTTGCTCTTCTCATCTCCACTTTAGTGTATGTCTGCCTCATCATGGTAAGAGACATCTTATATGGTCTGAGCTCAGTGAAAGTGACTCAAGAGACCACATACCAGAGTGGAGGGGAAGCAAGCCAAATCTTGCATTAGGGAAAATGTGTTCACCCACTTATTTCCCCTCCCCTCCCCTCCTACGTAATGAATGTCTGAACAGCAGCCCTTCTCTACCAGAGAATTTCACAAAAAAAGTGCCAATTCTCATTGTACCAATCCCCTTTTTATGAGCCACCTTCCTTCCATCCTGTATCGACACTGAACCAGTGACGTGTGTTGAGGTCTGAGGATGGGAAGCCACTTTCTATTGAGCCCCGCTCTGCCTCAGGCACAGTCTGTGTCAGGTCATGCTGGAACAAGAAGCTAATGAGCTGTCCAGGTGCTTTGTCTTGTACCATTTCTGAACTGTACAATCTGACAAGATCAGCCTTAAGTGGAATATTTTTAAAGGCTCTCGTTGTCACGGATTCTGCCGAGGCTGCTCCTCCTCCTTGCTCGGGCAGGCTTCGGCGTTCGTCGTCCCCGGAGTACTAGCTACCACCGTTAGATGTTTCGATGTTTGATTGGTTTGGTCTGTCTGTTGCACCTGTGTCCGTTTGTGTCTGATTATGTGTCCTATAAGTTTCCTGCTTTGTGTTTGTGAGTTTGTGTGTTATTTTCCGCCTGTCCGTTGGTGTCACCTGTGCAGTACTCTGGACTTTGTTTATTGTGACGCACTGTGTTTGCGTTGTCGCTCGCCTCCTTGTTTTGAGGTCCTTTATTTTGTATTGTTTATACAGTTAGTAAAGTCTTGTTTGACTCAGCCTATGCGTCCTGCGTCTGACTCCTCAACCGCATCCACATCAACACTGACACTCGTTTGCTGATGTTTAAAAATTTGTGACATTGTTTTGAATTTTTTGCAGTCTGGGAAATTAAGCCAAGGAAATTAAGTTCACCAAAGTGCTAAAACCTGGCTTTCATCTGAACATTGATATTGTCAAGTATGTTGTTGTAGATTTGCCCGCTCTCTGCTCTAATCGGCTGTTTACTACAAGTTTCGCTTTCTGCCAGGCCCAGTTCATTGCATTTCTGATCAAATCGCTCATAGAAAATATTCAAGTCTTGTCTCTGCCGTTCCATTGATTTCATTGTATCGCTGATACAGGTACGGCAGAAATCAATATCCATCACTTCATCTGCAGAAATAGAAAATTCCGTCATTGGCCATGAGCAAAAAACAAGCACGGTGGTGTTCTCTAAATGGGTTGCTAAGTGTTCATTTTTTTCATCAAAGGCATGTAATAGTTCCACATATACTGAACAACAATATAAACGGAACAGGCAACAAATTCAAAGATTTTACTGAGTTACAGTTCATATAAGGAATGCAGTCAATTTAAATACATTCATTAGGCCTTAGTCTATGGATTTCACATGACTGGGAATACAGATATGCATCTGTTGGTCACAGATACCTTAACAAAAGATGGGCCTCACAATGGGCCTCAGGATCTCATCACGGTGTCTCTGTGCATTCAAATTGCCATCGATAAAATGCAATTATGTTCATTGTCCATAGCTTATGCCTACCCATACCATAACCCCACCTCCACCATGGGGCACTCTGTTCACAACGTTGATATCAGCAAACCGCTCGCCCACACAACGCCATACATGTTGTCTGCGGATGTGAGGCCGGTTGGACGTACTGCCAATTTCTCTAAACAACATTTCTCTATGGTAGAGAAATCAACATTCATTTTCACAGGGTGGGTACTTCTGACCTTATGTCGCTTACAGTTCAGCCCTTCACCCCCCTCAGAAGAACACACACACAGTCACATGTCCAGTGTGCAAGGGAGTCAGAGTCATTGGTCATAGTCTGGATGCCAGTCTGTTTAGCTACCATTACACTCCAAAGATGATCATATGACACTGATCAGAACGATAAAGGATTTGGAATGATAAAGGCTTTAAAGCTCAACAGACTGGTACTACTCAGACTACATTGGTCATTCAGGGCTCATAGAATTTCCTGGAGTTTCAGAGGGAAGAGATGTGTTGCAATGCTGTTCTCCACTTCTAAACACTTCTGAACCAGCTGCACTAAGGGTGCGATAATGTAAATCTCCACAATCCATCATGTAGGAAAGAAAAGCCCTGGCATTATTAAAGAATGGTTTGTTTAAACACTCCCAAAACTAACTAAATTGAAGGTAATTTGTCTATGTATGTGTGTGTGTGTGTGTGTGTGTGCGCATGTGTGACAATCCACTGACTGTCCCTGTGACTTAATAAATAGTAACTCAGTTTAATTACATTTACATTTACATCATTTAGCAGACGCTCTTATCCAGAGCGACTTACAAATTGGTGCATTCAACTTATGATAGCCAGTGGGACAACTACCTTTTTGAAAAAAAAATAAGGATTACTTTATACTATTCCAGGCAGTGGCGGCTCCTGAAAAAATTCTCAGGAGGGGCAATTTTTCTGATGATTTAGGTGACCTACACACATTTAAAAAAAGATATGTCCAGCAACAACATGAAGACAGGGGCAGCATATAAGTCAATACCAGAAGCATTTATTGACTGATCTGGGGAGATGGATTCCAGTTTCTGTGACAGATTATAAATAATCTCTGATGCCTTTGTTATATTAGCTTTTGGTTGAATGTACTGTCGTAGTAAATATATAATGTTATAGCTTGGTCTGACTAAAATCTTGTGCATGACCCATTTTGTGTTGGGCGTTTGTTTTCAATCAATGCTGTTCCTATCCTATAACAATGGACAAAAGAGTCCTATCTTGTCAGCCTTGTCAGCAGGTGGCCAAGGACAACACCCACGCCATAGGTCTCTCAGTTCTTCCAACTCACGAGTTCTTGCTCTGAGGACACACACACACACACACACACACACACACATCATCACTGATAACACACACACACACACACACACATCATCACTGTTAAACACACACACACACACACACAAAAATCCCCTCTCTTTAGGCTGAACATTTGAAGACAGAGAACCCGACTCAGAGCCAATGCAACAGTGGAGGGGACCTCGCCCAACTCATCAGGACCAATCAGAAGATCAGAACTACTAGATTCAACCTACATATTTATTGTATAAAATGTCTGCACACAATGTTTTCGGGGCTCTCTTCTCCCTAAGAGTTTGACGAACGAGTCCGTGCACGCGATTCCAGATATCTTTACCTCTGAATAAACTGCCTTTATTATACCATATCCACCCTGTCCAAAGTCTCTACTTGGTCTCAGTTCTCCAGTAAACTTGTGATTATCAACAGTACACAACGGTAACAAACAATTGGGGGAACTCACGGGGCAGATAGTAAGGTCGCAATGACACAGAAAGCAGTTCAATGTCGGGGTACAGAGTCGCTCTCTTACCAGGATCGCGGTCCGCTCTGACCAGGGTGAAGCCGGTTCCGCTGCCAGCAGCGTTTTCATTATTTAGTCCGTTCGTAGCGGGTATGTACACGATCAACAAGATCAGTCCAAAACCAACCACTGGAAATCCATGGTTGGCAGAATGTTTGTAAACTAAGTCTACAAATTAAAAACATAAAATAACGCCACACTACAGGTCGCAACAGAGACGCTGCTAGCCGCTATTGTCTTAGTTACGTTCATGGTTACGTCACGTATGACGAAAGCGCGTAAGTGCAAGCCCACAGACACCCATAGAGAATGTATTGAAAGCTTTGAAATTTGAAAAAAATAGATTTTACATGACAGGCTATGAGAGACTTCTGGGCGATTTTCAACCTGACTGAAATCGCCCCAAAAACGGGCGGGGCCATTTGAAGCACGACTTTAGCCTGATTTGACATTTAGTGGCTGGCAGATCAGACGTGAACACTGCTAAATACTGTTGCCGTGATATAATTGATTAGAAAAAAAATCCCTTCCTTTTCCCGTTTGGCAGTGCGTCGCCCATATCGCCCTATTGAACAAGCCGTCCCTGATTCCAGGTATTCCTTAAATAAATAATAAAGATAAATAAAGAATAATGAAGGGAAGAGTATTGCCACTTTTAATTATTTGTCTTTGTTACTTTAGCAGATGTGATTCCTAATAAGGAATTTCCTATAGGGCTAACAATTAAGACGTTGGGTTCTTCTGTGGGAGACCTTGGTTCAAATCCCGCCTGTGACATCCCTGTGACTCAAA